TGTGTGTGTATATATATATATATATATATATATATATATATATATATACATATATATGTATGTATATATATGTATATGTTTTCCCATTGAATATGTCGTCTCACAGCAATGCTTCTTTACTATTTTAGTAGTTATTATGAAAATGTTGCACCTGAATGTTTCCCAGTCTGCCTGAACTTACCAATGAGCTTTGTCTGCTGTAGTCAATGGAGCTGGTCTGGCCATGGCTACTATGGACATCATCAAGCTCCATGGCGGCACACCTGCTAACTTCTTGGATGTAGGAGGCGGAGCTACAGCTCATCAGGTGACGGAGGCGTTTAAACTCATCACTTCAGATAGGAAGGTAAGAAATCACCAGCTGCCACACAGTTTAAAGCCATAATAGTTGTCATAATGCATAACTGTTTTTCATTTGAAGTTTTATACCTTTAACACAATTTTTGCATCATTAATTATTTTATTTTTATTAGGGGGGGTTGAGTTGCGCTAGATAACGCGTAAGGTTCCTTGGCTTTGTTTTCAACTCATTTTTGTGATCAGTAGTTCAGAATATCTCAAAGCAGCTCGTTTACGTATGATCTTAGCGCCAACTTTTGCCTTAACACACTCGCCCCCTCAAAGTCCTCCCCCAAATCTACTCTAATTTAATCAACTCTTATCATTCCAGCTTGTAGTTGCCATTTATTTTCAAAAGAAGAGAGAAGGAATTTACCTTTTCTCTTTAGAGCTGGTGTCTGATTTTTATAGTCCTCCTCCAACTCTCTTTACACCTGGGCATTATTTTACCAAATCAATATCAGTCACGCCCTGAGACTGTCCAAAGCGTACCCCTCAATTTTTTAAATGTAAACAAACAACGTATAATTGTTGGCAATGAAACATGACCGCTGATTTCACCCATTTATTACATAATGATGTGGTAGACTTTTTTGTAGTGAATGATGTCTTATAGTAATAAATTTTTATCATACATGATGCACATGAAAACCATCGAAATGTGCATATTTTGACTTCTGACAGTATTTTGCCTTTAACGTTTTTTTAAAATGACATTTCGTCCGTGTTAACACTTAAAGTTCAAGTTTATATATAAAGCGTGTCCCATGAACCCAGAGTAATAAGACCCGCCTCACATTCAGGAAATCCAGTTCATAGTATTCAGCCAGCTACAACGTGAGGGCTGAGTTAACAGCACTGTGGCTAACAGCTAACAAACTTTTCATCTAAACATGTCCGCTGTGTGGAAGTATTTTACACTAAACACCACAAAACAAGACAACAACGTGCACTGTCTGCAGAGCCATAGCGCCACATTAAACTGCGGTAAAGTTTGTTTTACGTTGGACATTCGAGCTCCGTGGCTTCAGCGGGACACTACTTTGCTCTTTGCTTGTATATATGTATACATATATGTATACATATATGTATATGTGTACGTATATGTATATACGTGTATATGTATACGTATATGTATATACGTGTATATGTATACGTATATGTATATACGTGTATATGTATACGTATATGTATATACGTGTATATGTATACGTATATACGTGTATATGTATACGTA